GATTGTTTGTCAGGTTCTTATAGGTTTCAGCAAATAGGGTAATGGTCAAAAGGCAAAGAAATGACATTATACCACATATTGAGATTAATAGATTAAAAAGTAGAGATGATAGATGATACCAAAGGTTGAGTGCTTGACTGGTAGCTGAAAGGTTAGTCCTTAGAGATGCTGAGTACTTAGAGTACTAGGTTAGTACTTAGAGTACTAAGAGGTTAGGTATGTCTTGGAAGACAAGCCTGGTGATCTGCTTCTGATAGGTCCCACCCTTGGACACCTGTGGAACACTTGTGTTCAGTACATGTGAGGTGTATACGATCTGGTATCTACTAACAATTATCCATAAGGCTGATTTTAGATTTAACAGTGGAGGGTTAATGATAGCTGAGCACAAGCTAATGAGTGTGTGGGGAGAAGTAACAGGAGAGTGCCCCTGGGCCTCCTACTCCCACAGGCGCAGTTGTTGTTGAGACGCACTGGGCCCCATTGTGCAGGTGTAGCACTGGCAGGTGGAGGGAGGGGTGAGAATATCGTGTAGGCAGCACACCTTTGAATGCAAAATACTAGCAATTTCCTCATATTTTGGATAAAATGGGTAAGTGAAAACAGGCACAACGCCTTTGAAAAACGACCCCTTCCTGTTAATAAGTGAATTGCTGAAGTAGGCAGATGTTGTCACAGGAGATACAGGAAATGGTGCTGAATGAGAAGCCAATATAGAGAGCCACTGAGGGTATAAGATACCGAGAAATTAACACTTAGAAGTTATTTAACCTCAAAACTAGACAAAACACTAGAAGTGAAGCCAGTTTATCTTTTTGCTTTTATAACTAATCATGTCATTATGTCCAGCATGTCTTTGTACTGCTACAGTGAAAATGTAGACATTATGTTAGATGAAAGTATACAGTGTATGAGAAGACCTTGCAAATTGGGACCTGGTGATTTGCTTCCACAAAGATTACAGCCGAGGAAACTATAAGGAGCAGTGCTCCTCTGCCACGTGGAATTGTTCAGTTGAAAATTGATGTAGTTTAAACGCTACAACAAGGACGTGGTAATGAATGAACTGAGTCTTTGTCTCCAGGTAACTAGTTGTCTAGTAGAATCGTGGCCAGTGAAAAGATTGTTGAAGAACAGTGGGAAAACGTGGTAGAGGTAGTCTCAGGTGATGGTATTAATATGTAAAAGGGATGCTGGAATTTGGGGCATGGCTCTCAAGCTTATCTCCAAGATCTGTGGTTCTGAGCCAAGTGCAGATGGGAGTGGAGCAGAAAAGGTGTGGGTGTGACGGTGAATGAGGAGAGAGCACCACACCACGTGCACAGGCATGCAGGTGAGGCACCTGCACATGGTCATGTCCTGTTAACACAAGGACTACCACACAGCTGGAATGCAAGTGAAGAGTGTGAGAACTGAAGAACAGAGCCTGCGACCAACACACGGAACCTGTGGAATTCCAGACCAAGGAGCTTGGGCTTTATTCAGCAATATCTGATGAACCTCAAGAGGGTTCTAAGCAGGGGCGTTACAAGGTCAACTTTGCAATTAAAACAAAACCAAACCAAACCTTTAGTAAAGAATGGTTTTAGGGGAGCTAAGCTGATTGTAGGAAGCTGTTGCCGAAATCATAGCAGTTGTAGCGTGTAATTGACAAGTGATCCAGTAGATTTGGGGAGTAAGGAAAAGGAAGAAATTCCAGAGGTTCTTCTTTGGTTCCATTGAGTGGGCACAACTCTGAGATGACCCTCTAGTGAGTTTACTGATGTTGTAAATAGTGTGAGAGGAGATTGCCCATCCTTCTTCCTTGAAGCATCTTGTCAGTTCAAGCCAGAAATGGCATCCACTAAAATAGAAACATAAGAAAGAGAGCAGATTCAAAGAGGAAATGCCTAGGTCAAATTGGGCCCTGTTGGCTTTGAGAGTGTTAATATACCTTTGAATACAGGGGCTTGGAACCTGGAAGAAAGATCTGAACTTGAGTTTGAGATAGTCAAGATGGAATATACCCTGAGAAAATGAAAACTAAGGCACAGAGACTTTTACACCAACGCTCATAGCAGTATTATTTATGAAAAAACATGGACAAGAACATGGAAACATCCCAAATGCCCAACTACAATCAAATGTATTGAGAAAGTATGGTACATTCACATAATGGAATACTGTGCGGCACAGAGGAGCAATGACTTTGTAAATTACTACCTAACATGGGAGGGACTGGAGAGCATTGTGCTAAGTTAATTAATTCAGTCTCATAAGGTCAAATAATGTATAAGACCATTATTGTAGAATGAGTACAAGGATGGGGTGGTTAATTATGTTGTTGTTGTTATGTGCCGTTGAGTTGCTTGCAACTCATAGCAACCCTATGTACAACAGCCCTAAACTCTGCTCTGTCCTGTGCCAATCGCACTGTCTCTGACACTCCCATCCTGATTACCCCAGTCACAGAATCAATCCACCTCAGAGAGGGCCTTCCTCTCCTGCACTGTCCCTCCACCCTCCCAAGCATGATATCCCTCTCCAGGGACTGGTCCCTCCTCACAACATGTCCAAAGTATGTTAGACGGAGCCTCAGAATCCTTGCCTCCAAGGAGCCACCCGGTTTAACCCTTTCCAGGATGAATCTGTTTTCCTAGCAGTCTATGCTACTCTCAATACTCTTCTCCAGCACCACAGCTCAAAGACATCAGTTCTCCTTGTATTATAGAGGTACACAATTTGATTGGTAAACAAAAGGAGAAAGATCTGGTGTGAAAAACAATGTATAGGAACTCTATGAACTTTGCATGTAGACCAGTATAAATTTTTTTTTAAAGAGCATACTTGGAAGAGTGGAGTAGAACATACAGTAAAATAAATGCTCTGCCACGGGAAAGTTCCACAGGCAAAGCTTGGGAAATATCCATGTTTGAGAGGGTGGTGAGGAACAGCTTAAAAGGAGCTTAGGGAGGCATATTCAAAGAGGAAGGATAAAAAACAAATACGTTTGTGGGTTTGTTTTTTTTTTTAAATGCATTTGTTTTTATGTTTAAATTAAAATAAATTTTAAATTGCCTTATTTAATGCACTGCATAGTCCCAGTGTTCCCCTTCGAAATAGCATTAAGTATTCCAGGCCATCCAGATACTATGTATAGGTAGAACTTGATTAATTAGTATACTTAGAAAATAGGAAGTATTTAATTATCAAATTGTTAGTTGAGGCTTAATCTTAACCTTCATTATAGTGAATAAAATGAAAATTGTTTCTGTTTTCCATGCCTGTTGCCCATAATTCTAATGATTCAGATACCAATTTTCTTTGGCTTTGTCTACTTTCTTTTTCTGAATTCTTCCCTCCCCTGTCCCAACTGCTTTTTGACACCCTAGTGACTCATTTTCCCAGATATTCTAATTACTATGGCTGTGTAATAAACTATCCCAAAAGTTAGTGTTAGCTGAAAAGAGCAAGGATATTTATTTTACTAACAAATCTACAATTTTTACAGGGTTCAGTTATCTTCTGTTCTATTTTCATCAAATAAGGGAATCAAGAGAGGAACTCTGGTGGCCTAGTGGTAAAGAACTGTTCTACCAGCCCAACGGCATACAGTTCCAATCCACCAGCTGTTCCACAGGAGAAAGATGGACACTTTCCTCCTGTAAGATTTACAACCTGTAACAGTCTGCTGGGGGGTTAACTATGAGTCATTTCTCACTCAACAGCAGGCAAGTTATAGCACTAACCCTCAAGAGCTAGGAATTGCAATCACCTGTTGCTCCTCTCGTTCTCTCTCCTCCCTATCTCTCCCTCCCTCTCGCCCCTGACGCTACATTTTGCTAGACTGAACTCTCTGAAGACTTCCCTCTGAAGCTTCAGAGAAGGCAAATTCCTTATGCTTGTTCTAGACTTGAAAGAAGAAAGCAAGAGAACAGAAGTGGAATTTCTATCAAAATATCAAAAATTTTTTTAAAAAAAAGAAATTAAATAAGTGGAAGTTCTAGCTCTTTTTATACTTGGCCTTAAATGTCTCCTAACACTGGTGACTTAGGAGTTTCACTACCAACTAAAAGGCTTGAGTTTCTCACCCACCAGCTGCTTTTCAAGGGAAATCTCCTCCCATGCGATTTACAGCCTCTGAAAACTTGCCCGAGGCTTAGCTATGAGTTGGTTCTGACTCAGTGGTGCCTAACAACAAGAAGCATCAGCATTTTCACTTCATTCCATAGTGCAGGGCAGATAGAAAAGTACCTGGAGGGTCACCATCGCATTTGGAGAAGGTCATGTAGCTGTGGTACATTTTGGTGCTGCCGTATTTTTAAAATGAAGTCTGCCACATTAGCTAACTTTCAGTTGCCACTTAGGACCTGTAGGTGTATCTCTCTGCTGGATCAACAATTGCATCCTGCTCTCTTTTCTTTAGGCTCACAGCTTATTCTGTTTTATCTCTTTCTACAGACGCACACAGTCAACTCTCAGTGAGAAAGAGAAGCAGCTGAACTCTCACATTTAAATGCATTTGAAAGTTTAGTTGCATCTCCTAGACCAAGTACTCCTTGTAGACCACCACTTTCATAATAGAGAATAAGTTTTCAATAATTTTCCAATATAATACCACAATACCTTTTTTTCCAAAAGAGCTTCCTGGTGAAAACTTCCCAGATTTTCTCCTTCAATCTGTTAGGTCAGTCTTGTATAGGGAATAGACCCTAATTCTTCAGTACATACCCTGGAAGTTGTTACTTAGAGAATAAATCTTGCAGATGAATTTGTTTTCTGATTATTTGCCCCCTTTTCCTGAACATGGGGCTAAAAAAAAAAGAATTTAGTATCTGAGGAGTTTGATTTCCATTTATGTAATGTAGCATGACTGTGGGATTCCTGAAAGTTAATATTGTTTCCTAAGTAAGTAGCAAAAAGTCAATGATGTTTTCAAAAGAAACTTGAAATTTTGGACTGTGAGATGTACTCTCTAAGCCTCATACTTGCATATTTTTGATTCTACACTTCTTTTGCAGAAAATGGCTCTGAAGATATTGATATACTTCCCAGTGGGCTGGCTTTTATCTCTAGCGTGAGTATTTACTGTGCCCCTTGGATGCTCATGTCAATAGCTCTACAGACAGTGCATTAATGCTGTTTTCCGGAACTTCCATATGAACTACTCCATATTTATCCCACCTCCTGGTAAACTAGTCAGCTGGAAAAGCTAAACAGGCTTCTGAAGAGCTAATTAGGACACCACAGGAATGTACAGTCCTGCTGCCCCATGGTGGGAAGCTTCCTGTGGGCAAATGTACGCTCAGTAGGATCTCAATAAATGTGCATCGATTTCCCATCAATTCCTAGACTACTCACTAAATTTGTTCTTTTGTTCTCCATCCCATTCGTCACCTTCCTTGGTCCGACCTCAGCCTCTGTTGGTCATCTTCTCACTAGCCGATCTTCATCTCACCGTGTCTGCCTGTGTTTGGGACTCCTTACACATTTCTAGATAGAATGGTGCCATGTGTCGTATACCATGTTACTTTTATTCAATACCCCCGGCGCTTTCCACTTTGTGTTCCTCTCCCTTCTAAATCCAGGTCTCTGGAGGAAAAGTAGAGAATAGCCTACCTGTTCTTTTTTATAACATCTTCACAGATTTAATGGTAATTAAGAAGCAGTGAGACACTGGATTTCAACCAACTAAAAATGTGTGTACTGTGAAGATGCTAAAAAACCATCATATATTTGTTAGATTGATTATAATAAAGCAGGAACAAAATTTTGAAAAGCTTGATCACATTTTCAGTGTGGATTTAATAGCTCGAATTACATTATTTATTACCACATTTTGGCCAGTAGAGTATCATCAAATTATAAAGATTTTAAAATAGGTTTTTTTTTTTTTTTATCAAATAAGGTTGTTGCTGTTGTTATGTACCATCAAGTCAGAATAAACTCATAGCTGCCCCTCCAGTGGAATTGTAGAGGCTGCAAATCACACAGGCGGAGACCGGACATCTTTCTCCTGTGTATCAGCTGGTGGATTTGAACCACCTGCCTTTGGGTTGTCAGTGCAACTCCTTACTCCCTAAGCCACCAGAACCCCTTCAAATAAGTTGTGGTATGCCTTAGAATTGTGGATCTGGAGAAGAATCTTGAACATACCACGGACTGCCAAGGAGACAAATATGTCTGCCTCGGAGGATGAAACCAAGTCTCTCCTTGGAGGCTAGGATTTTGAAGCTCTGTCTCACATATTTGGGGCACGTGGCCAGGAGAGATCTGTCCTTGGAGAAGGACATCATGCTTGGAAGGATGGAGGGACAGGGCAGGAGAAGAAGGCCCTGGATGAGAAGGATTGATACAGTGGCTGGGGTAATGGGGATTGGTGTGTCGGAATTAGTGAGACTGGTTCAGGACAGGGCAGGGTTCAGAGCTGTTGTACATAGCGTCTCTATGGGTAGCAGGTGACTTGGCAGCACATAACAAAAAAAAAAAACACAACAACAACAATAATATATAACAACCCTTACTGGCCTGAAGTACTCTTGGTGAAGTAATGACTTAAATAAGCACTGGCTCTTAGCCAAAAGGCTAGCAGTTAGAATCTACTAGCCTCCCCATGGGGGTAAGATAAGACCAGCTGCTTCTGCAAAGATTTACAACCTTAGGGGGCTTAAGAGAACAGTTCAACTGTGTCCTGTAGGGTGTGTGAGTCAGAATCAACTTGACAACAATGGGTTTAGTTTTTCATTTTTGAATTACTTGAATTCTAAATTCTTCAAGGTACACAACAGAACATTAAAAAAAAAAAAGCCAACAAAACCCACAACCAAAAAGTCAATTATATTGCAATTATGTTAATTCCAAATCACAGCAACTTCACAGGACAAAGTAGAACTGCCCTGTGAGATACCCAGAGCTGTACTGGTCACTGACGTAGACTGCCACACCTCCTATCACAGAGCAAGTTCAAGCCGCTCATCATGTGGTTAGCACTCAAGCGCTTAACCACTGTGCGACCAGAGCTCCCGACAACAAGAGGATCAAGTTCAGGTATTAAACTACTGCTAGTGGTGATGACAGTGGTTGTGTGTTAGAAAGGGGTTTTGTTTGTTGGTTTATGCCAAATAGACCTTTAAAAGTGCTCTATAATGAAGAGAATTCTCAGCTTTTAAAATATAATATACATCACTCCCACTGTATTCTTTCCCCCCTTCTTTTCATTTAACCTAGCAGTTTGAACTTTAATTAATGTGGTAGATTTGTTAGCAATGAAAGAGTTCTTTCTTACCTTTCAAAAAGAGAAACGAACTGGGGGTGGGGGAGGAGTGGGCAGGGAGGAGTGTGCATCAATGAATGAATAGAAATCCAAAGTCTCTGTAAACTTTCATTAAAATTTAAAAAACGGGGAATAATTCTAGTGGATAGCAAGGATGGTTGCACAAACTTGAATGTAATTGTTATTGAATTAGACATGTTGAAATTGTTGAGATGGCATATATTCTATTATATATCTTTTCATTGAAATTATAGAAAGGAAAAGTAAAAAGAGCTTACATTTTAAACTAAAAGCAAAATATTCAGATAGATTTTTTTCTTAGTTTTTATATGTTCTTACTTTCCACCTTTTCTGTTGGCATTTGAGTGAGAATATACAAATTAAGTTGGTTTTCTATTCAAACATTCAAATACTCTGTACTTTCCCCCTAGCCTTAATTGTAGTTTGAAGTGAACATGGCAAGATTCTATCTCACCCTAAAGCATGTTTGGAATCTGCTGGTTTAGGAAGCAATTCTGCATAATAAATACTTTAACTCTATTTAGAGGTGGTTGTTGTTTGATGTCGAGTCAGAATCAACCCATAACTGACCCTCCAGTGGATTTTTCAGAGGCAGTTAATTACTCAGGAGAAGATTACCCATGGAGCATCTGGTGGATTCAAACTGCTTGCTTCTGGGGTTGCAGCACAGCTTCTTATCCCTGGGCCACCAGAACTTTCCGTTTAGAGGTAGCAAAGAGGTCTTATGAGTCTCTGAATATTGTGCATTGCCTATTCTCTAAATGCTATGCTATTCTCCATAACTTAGCTTTTATTCCTCTTTGGGTCTCACTATTGTGGCATTTGACTTATTCCAGAAAGTCTTCTCTCTGACATTTTTCTATTGGGTGAAGTGCCTCTTCTGTGATGTCCCAGACTTAAAAATTATCTCAAGACAATAGTTTAATAAATTTCACAGAATTTTATTGGCTATAATCTTTAGAAAAGCAGAACATCAGATCTTTTTTTGTGTGGCCTCAGTGAGTGAGTTTAGACTGTCTTTCATTACATTAATGGTGAAGCACAGCCCATTGGCTCCACTCAGGGACCCTCTGTTAATTTTTGGCCTGAATATACTCTTTGCTATAACATAAAATAACCAGCCTGGAGAGTTGTTCAATCAAATAAAACCTTATACCCCTCTCTCTTTTCTCTGAGAAAGCATAATTATTAACTATGAAGGCTGGAAAGATCTCAGCAACTCCTTCAAAAGTTCCTAATTTTATAGATATGAATCTGAAACTCAGCATCAAGGGACTCACACAAAGTAAGTTTCAGTCTTCTGTGTATGAGTCATGTTAACAATGATTTTGTTTCCTTCTACATTCATGACCAAAACTTAGATGACATTAGATGTGATAAGGAGCACAGCTGACAGTGTAAAATAAAACCTGAAATAGAAAAGAAATTTAGAGCTTTGAACATTTTGAGATTTTGCTTCAATATGAAAATGATGTTTGGAGAGGTATATGTATGCTTACTTACTATTTATGTTTTAAAGGGACTAAAATATCCGGGCATGCCAAGTTTTGCGCCAGATGAACCAGGAAAAATCTTTTTGATGGACCTGAAGGAGCAAAGCCCAAGAGCCCAGGCATTAAAAATCAGTGACGGATTTGACAAAGCATCATTTAATCCACATGGGATCAGTACTTTCATCAATGAAGGTAAAGCCTGAATGCTTAAGAATAAGGGGGAGTGAAGGATAACCATGTTACGCATGCCCAACTTCTCAACACTTATGTCGAAAGGAGGAGGGATTGATACTTTTACCATAAAGGTGCATAATATAATAATATATTTGTTTTTTTTAAAAAAAACATCTTTAAACACTGCATTCAAGAGGCAGACTAGCACTGTTGACTCCTTTTTCCTTTCTCCTGCTTGTCCGTTTTTGACTGTGACAGCCAGCTTGATAAATTACTAGTCTCTGAAATTTAACAAATAAACTAAGGGCCCTTTGAAAACAATTCTGGACATAGAAATCCAAAATCTCTAAATGTTCATTAAAATTAATAAAATAAAATTAAAAACAAAACACTAACGCTGAGGCTGACCCTCGAGCAGGTTTTCAGAGGCAGTTAATCCCACAGAGGACATTGCCCATCTTCCGCCCACAGAACAGTGGTGGCCTTGGACTGTGTGTCTTCAGGATTGCAGCTCAGCTTCTTGCCACTAGATCAGCAAATCTCCCTAATGGAAAAATAGTTAAACTTCATTTCATCAAATGAAAAACATTTGTATTTCAAAATGTCCTATGAAGAATATAATGAAAAAATAACATGAATGGGCAAAATGTTTACATTCTTTCTCTTATGAGAAACTCATATCTACAACATATACAGAATATACAGAACTCTTGTAACTCAGCCCAATTAACATGTACAAAATATCAGGACAGACATTTCTACAAAAAAAGATATAGCAATGGCCAGTAATTTCATGAAAAGCTGACCAGCATTATTAGTTATTCATGTTCTCTTTGGCAGTCAAGTTGGAACCACATCACAGCTGATCCTCCAGTAGGTTTTCTTTCTGAGGCTATAAATGCCTGAAAGGAGATTGCTCATCTTTTTTCCAAGTGGCTGCTGGTGGATTTGAATCACAAGAGAGGTTCAGTCTTTGGATTAGCAGCACAGCTCCCTATGACTCCTCAAAGTAGAGTGGCACAGTAGAAGCATGTGGGGTCCATAACCCAGAGGTTGACAGATCAAAACCATTCTCTGCTAGTGTTCTATCATAGTCATTGCTGTTATTTCTGTTGTTAGGTGTCATCAGGTCAACTACCACTCATAGCAACCCTCGGAACAAGAGATCTAAACCTTGCCCGATCCCGTCATTCTCAGGGTCTCTGAAATGTTGGAGTTCATTGGTACAATGTGTCAGTTTTGTTGAATGCTTTCCTCGCTTTCTCTGACTTTCTACCTTTCCAAGGATTTTTTTCCCCAAGAACTACCCCTTCCTGAAAACATGACTGAAGTATGTGAGACAAAGCACTCTGTTTTCACCCCCTCCAAAGGACCTCTAGTAGCCTAGTGGGTAAGGAGTTGCTTTGCCAACCCAAAGACAGGTAGTTCAAATCCACCAGTATCTCCAGTAGAGAAAGATTGGTGATCTCCTTCTATGCAATTTATAGCCTCTAAAAACCAGCTGAAGTATGTTACTTTGTTGTTGTTGTTATGTGCCACTGAATTGGAACCTTACCATAGCTGACCCTCCAGTGGTTGTTCAGAGGCAGTGAACTGGACAGGAAGATAGCTAGGGCAATCCAGATGCAAGCCATTCTTTATATTGATGCATTAAAAAACTCATACTGTTGAGTCAGAATGGACTCAGAGTTGACCCCTCAATGAACTTCCAAGACAAGATTGCCAATCTTTCCCCTGGAGAACTACTGGTGAATTTGGATTCCAGAGAGTCATGACCTTTAAGTGACTGTGCCACCAGAGCTCCCTTCATACTTACGCAGAGGGTTATAATAAAAAGGGCAGACTAGAGGTGGCAACTGTGTGAAGAAAATGTAACTAATATATTGTTAAGATTAATGAAAGCATGTATCTACACAACATCTCCCCCAAAATGATGACAGCAGTAGTATTTATAATAACTCCAAAGTGTAAGCAATCTAAATACTAAAAAAATGTACAAACAAAATGTGATATAGCTATACAGTTGGAGCAGTATTTGAAAATAAAAAGGAATGAAATGCCAATACTTGCTATAATATGAATGAACTTTAAAAATAATATGGGAAGTGAAAGAAGTCAGTCACTAAAGATTACATGTATATACTATACTATGAATAATATAGAATATAATATAGAATATAATCAACATAATTAATATCATATAATTAATATCATATCATGCACTATTACATATATGCAATATGTTGTTGTTGTTATGTGCCATCAAGTCATCTGCGACTCATAGCGACCCTATGTACAACAGCCCTAAACCCTGCTCTCTTCCTTGACAATCTTATTTTCTTCGACACACCTACCCCTATCACCCCAGTGACTGAATCAATTTATTTCATCTAGGATCTTCCTCTCCTGCGCTGACCCTCCACCCTCCCAAGCATGACGTCCCTCTCCAAGGACTGGTCCTCCCCACTTGCAACATGCCCAAAGTATGTCAGATGAAGCTTCAGAATCCTTGCCTCCAAGGATACTATATCATTATATATCATACATTATTCCATTTCCATCAACTAGTCACGATAGGCAAATGCATCGAGATAGAAAGTGAATGAGTGGTTCCAAGGGGCTGTTATGAAACCTTCTGTTTCTGTTTGTTCCTTGGGTCTGAACGACCATAGACTTGTTCATTTGTAAATAAATGGATTTTTTAAAAAACGCTTGAATCCTGCCCTGTTAAGTAAGATAAATAAATATTATCCTTAAGTCTTATGCATACTTTTACTTGTTTAGCAAGTTCTGCTTTAAAAGATAATGGGACCTAACAAGTGTGTATTGCTTTACAGTTTACAAGTATTTTTACCTATAAAAGCTCCTTTATTTCACGAAACCAAAAAACCATATCCGACCTTGGATTAACCCTGACATCTTCCTTCTCTCTGACTTAGTCATTCAAACTTTTTCCAAAGTTGTGTCCAACCTCTGAAATACGCCTTCAACCTATCTACCTTTTCTATTGTCTCTGTTTACCATCCCAGTTCAATGATTCAATCTCCCCTGGATTCTTCAGTGGTCCCCTAAATGGTCTCATCTTCCTCGTATATCACTTCAGTCCACTTTTGTAGCCAGAGTTATTTGCTCACATCACTCTCTTAAACTTTTCCATGCTACTTTCCATTACTCTAAAGAGAAATTCCAAATCTTCAGAGTGATCTGAGCTGGTAGACTCTACCTCTGCCTTCAGGTTCTGTGTGTTTTTCCAGTCTTCTTTGACACCACATTCCTCTTGACTTTCTGGCCAGCCACTTGAATTTCTCTTCATTCTGTAAAATGCCTTATCCAGTCTATGGTCTTTGCAATTACTTGCTATGCATCAGAGAGCTGGATAATGACTAAGGATGATGGAAGAAGAAGAATTAATGCCTTTGAGATGTGGTGCTGGAGAAGAGTTTTGAATACACCATGGACCACCAAGAAAACAAATATGCCTGTCTAGGAGAGGGTGAAACCAAGTTTTGGAGCTCTGCCTCACGTACTTTGGGCATGAAGTCAGGAGGGATCGATCCTTAGAGAAGGATATCATGCTCAGAAGGATGGAGGGAAAGCACAGGAGAGGAAGACCCTTGATGAGATGGATTGATTCCATCACTGGGGTAATGGGGAAAGGCGTGTCAGAGACAACATGATTGTCGAGATAGAGCAGGGTTTAGGGCTGTTGTACATAGAGTCGCTATGAGTCAGAAGTGACTTGACAACACATAACAACAACAAATGAGATTTAGAGGAATGCATTGAAGTGGGACTTCAATTCTGAGGTTATAACAGACCCAGAATTAGAACTCAAGTGTTTTGCATTTTTTGAGCTATGCCCTTCTCAGGGGTGTGATTGCATTCCAAGTTTTGTTCAAATAATTCAAAAGCCATCACTTTCTTGCTTGAAACGATGTTAGACGTCTGGTGCTTCATTTGCGAAGCCATGAAGTGATGCCATAGAATTTTTCCAACTCATAGCAATGCTCCATCAAATCTCTGAGGCTACAATCTCTCCTGCAGGAGACTCATCTTTCTCTCTAGGAACTGCTGTTATATTTGAACTGTGCACCTTTCAGCTAGCCGTTCCACTTGTTATGCTATAGTGCATAATATACAAGGGCTGTTATCCAAGAGGAAGGCTCTGAAGGGTTAGTGGGTTAGAAATTGTGCTCTCGGCTCAGAGTCAGACAGTTCAAATCCATCAGCTGTTCTGGAGGGAAAAGAAGGGCAGTCTTTCCCCTTGGGATTTATAGCCTCTGAAAACTCACTGGAGGGTTAGCTATGAATCTGACTTGGTAAGAAGAAGTTCAAAGTTTTTTGCTTCCCAAAAGGTGAGTCGTTCAAAGCCACCAAGGACTCCATGGGAGAAAGATGGGCATTCTCTTCCAGGAAAGATTTACAACCTTGCAACCTTCTATGAGTTCAAACTTCAGGTTTGTTTGCTTTTAATGAGAAAGTATGTAAAACTGGAGACATTTAAATGCACAAGATAGTGTTAGAGGTGTTTTGGTTTTTATTTTTACTTGTCTGTTAATTTTTGTTTCATTTTATTCAGATCATACTAGTTTACAGATTAACTCTTAGGCATACATAATTGAGCTTTCAGAAATAAAATATATTGTGATTGACACTTTATTAACCTCCCTTTGATGTTTACCTAATTAATACGATCAAATTATCACACTTCTCTAGAAATAGAGATAGAATGAGGGGATTGAAGACAAGCATATTCTCACCAGGCATACCTGATGTGGAAAGAAGAATCCTTTGGTACAAAAGTTGAGACCATAAAATCAAAGAAACACATGACCATTTAGTCTATGTCCAGCAAGAGTGTCAGACTTCAAGGTCTCTTGGGGGCTGAGATCCATGCTCTGCCGCCAGCCAACTTCTGAACCCTCACACAAAGTTTTAAGTCAGCCCAAAATTCATCTATGAGAGCACTTTTCTCAAATTTGCATAAAAAGTGCCTTGTGTGTTTCAGGAAACTAATCTCAGGGCTTGGGCTTACTCTATGACATGGTTGGGAACTGTCAAGAAAAGGAATAATGAAGAAGATAAAGAAAAAAAAATCCTACAGTGGGAAAGAAAGGGCAATGGCCTTTAAAACTCCAGTGGTCATTGGACCTGGGCCTCCTAATACCTCAGAAAACAGGTCCGTGAGAAGTCAGGTTACTACTTTTACTGCTCTGCACATTTCAATATGAAAAAAGATAGATACACATTCTGGGTAATAGTGCTTTGACTTGGCTAATTTATCTCCTTTTGCATTCACATGTATGTTCCATATTCATTAGGCTCACTAAATGTTGTTATTACAACATAGCTGGGAGAATGTATCATATTTAAAGATATTTACCCAGCCAGGACGTTTCTGAACTGGTGTTGTAATGCAGAAAATTCTCACACACACAAAAAGAACTGTCAGCTCCTTTGTATTTGCTTGCATCCACTTCTCTCATTGAAGTGCCACCCTAGGAAACCACATTCATGTTTAAAGCACCTGATAGGAGGTTTATAGCTGACTGACAAGTCCATTTTAGAAATGTCATAGATGTGGCACTGCCACACAACCCTAGTGCCGAGGAGTACTTGACCTTGGTACCAGCAGTCAGGATATAAAGAAATGTATTTCTTCAAGCAACTCCACTGTCAAGAATCTCTCCAAATATTTAAGAACAATGTTGTTAGTTTGAAGACTAAGGTGTGCCTGATTAAGACCATGGTCTTTTCAATCACCTACTATGCGTCTGAGAACTGGACAATAAATAAGCATGACAGAGGAAGAATTGATACCTTTGAGTTGTGATGTTGGAGAAGAGCACTAAATATCCCATAGCCTGCCAAAAGAATGAACAAATATATCTTGGAAAACATGTAGCCAGAGTGTTCCTTGGAGGCAAGAATAACAAAGCTTCATCTCTCATCTTTTAGACATGGTGTTAAGAGAGCCTATTCCTGGGAAAGGGATATAATGCTTGGAAAGATAGAGGGTCGATGAAAGAAAGGCAGACCCCCAATGAGATGGATTGACACAGTGACTGAAACAATGGGCTCAGGTCTATCAAAGATGGTGAGGATGGTATAAGATAGGACAGGATTCAGATCTGTTGTTCATAGACTCAAGATGAGTTACACATGCATTCAACTTGATGACACTTAACAACAGCAATAAACACAACTTGACTTTCTGAGTCTTCATTTCCTCAAAGAAAATGAAGATTCTAAAATGTCCTTAGCTTAATAGGTGGGCTCTATGGTTCAAATGAAATTTGTTTGAGAAACTTCTGTGGTAGTGGCAAAGTTCAACCCCAAGTTTAATAATAGCATTGCAGTAGACGTAAACATCTTAAAATTATGCCTCCTTTTCATTTTAGATCACACAGTGGATCTTTACGTTGTGAATCATCCCCACATGGATTCCACAGTGGAGATATTTAAATTTGAAGAACAACAACACACTCTTGTGCACCTGAAAACTATAAAACATGAACTGCTCGAAAGGTATGAAATGACGGTATTGGACATTTCTAGTTCTTTGGCGCCTCTGCTGTGTGCTTTATTTTCTTTGTTTCCGTACCTTTTCTTCAACTTTTGTCTAGTAGCATTTTTTTTACTCCTAAAGGTTTCTAAAGATTCCCATGGTGACATTGCCCAGCGCCTTACTGGAAATTGCTGTATTCAGTACTTAAAATCTCTATGTTCTCCAAGATTTCAAAAGCATTTTAATCCTGTAAAGGTCCCCAGGTAGATTCTCCATTCTCATTTCATCCTCCTTACCGAAGCAACTCAGTGCCTACTACTGGGCTGTCTTAATATATCCGTTTCTAGCTGTCCTGGTAGGTTATATTCTGAAAGTCTCATCCAGCGGTGCTATAATCAACATGCCTGTGGACCGATTCTCTGTTCCCTTAAAACTTTAGAGTAGAATTTGAAAGAAGCCCGTGGACATTTATACCATTTCCCATTGACTAAGCATTGACTGTGTGCCAGGCACTATGCCAAACATGCTTTATTATCTCAATAGTCTATAGTAGTAGGCTTGTGTAAATGGAAACCTAGAGAAGTTTTGTGTTAAGTAATTTTTCCAAGTTACACAACTTGAAGTGGCATAACCAGAGTGCAAACCTAGATCCATCTGAGTTTGAACTGGGTCTGTTTACCTCAATGCTGAACATCTTTCTTATTGTGTTCAGAAAAATAGTGAGTTTTCAATGGATAGTTTGTTTGCTTCAAGGCTGGAGCAAACAATAAAAAATGTTTATTTTATAAAATGGACTCAATACAGGAAGACAGCGTCTGAAAGAGTGGAGGGTGACCTTTCTACTGGATAGGAATACGGCAAAAGGAAAGACGCTAATCTCGCCCCACTTTTCTCTCTTTCTAAACATCGCCTACGAATTTATCCCCATAGAATTTGAGGATAACAAGAGTGGAGGGCAAAAGTCAGAAAAGCTGAAGTTACCAAACTCCTCCTGTGTTACATTGTGCTGAGTCAGAGGCCAGAGTGAGGACTGTGGAGGTTGGGAAATGGTGGATAACACAATTTGTCTGTCTCAATTTCCTCAGCAAAAAATAAGGATTCTCTTGTTGACTGGCTTACCTAACTGCTCTCTTGTGAGCATCAAATTCAATAACATATGGTCTCACTAAAAGAGTTCCCCAGAATGCACAACCTAAGGGAAAACCTAATAGGATATCACCTTCTTAGAGAGTGTGATGAGATGAGAGACCAGCCTGAGGCAGGGCAGATAAAGGGCCTATAGCAAATGCATCAAGTCAGCTATTTCTTAGTGCAACTACAGGCTTGAAATGATGGAATTGCCCTCTAAGATACAATACATGCCTCATTTCAGAGCAATCCAGGCAATATGAGAAGGAGGGAAGAATTTCTTTACAGGCCTTCATTCCCATTAGTCAAAGGTTTGTCCTAAGGGGCACTGACTGAAGGAATCGTCTGTAACACCTTCCTTCCTAATTGTACAAGTGCGAGTCACATCCTAGGCTTTGACATCAATACAGAGTCCTGGAAGTGGAGGTCCGGGGTCCACCGTACACAGGAGGGAAGGCACTGTGGTCCACCGTACACAGGAGGGAAGGCACTGTCAGGTGGAATCTGTGGGAATTCTGTCAGATCCCAAGCAGCACTGCTCACAACAATCACAGCAGCAGCAGCTGGAACAGGGCAGGTAAAGCAAGCTGGAGAGGTGCCTGGATACACACATCGACTCAGCAATTACATGGGGCAGGACAAGGAGCTATTGAAATAAATTACGAGGACATTTCACTTTATCCAGGGTGCTCAGGAGGTGCCTGGATACACATATTGACCAGCAGTCACCAAGGGGCATAACAGCAAGTTATTAGAGGCAATTATGAGGGAATTTCCTTTTCTCTAGAATGATCATGAGGTGCCTGGATACACAGAATGACCAAGCAATTACAAGGGAGGCACAAGAGCAAATTGCTCAAACCAATTGTGAGAGAATATCACTTAATCCAGGTTTTCAAAGAAAACCTCTTGGGAGGATGAAACATTTAAGCTAAGACCTCAAAGCTGAGTAGCCAATGATGCCGGAAGATAATTTTATAAAAAAATTTCAGTGTTACCTTATTTATCCAACTTAAAAAAAGACACCTTTCCATTCACTCTCATATACATTTTGTTTTATAACATTAATTGCAATTGTACAACACCATTATTTGCAAGATCTTATTGAATGCTTTTTCTCTGCCTTTTCCATCACTGTAGCCATCTGTTTCCTAATCTCTGCTCCTTCCCCTTCCTCTCCCTCTGTCAGCCCTCCACAGTTGTTTCTATCTGTCTGCAAGCTGTTCCTTAGTTTTCTTTTTTAAAAATCTCTTATTTTTTCTTCTATCCACCCCCTTTCAGTTATGCATATCCTGTTCCAGATTGTAAATTGCAGTATACTCTATATCTGAGCATTCATTAATTTCAGATTGCCTTTCCCTTAATTGATTCATTCCAATATAACTTTTCTGCTAAGAATTTAAACAAAAATAGTTTTTCTTTATTTTATGGTGAAACATATTAGTATATATAACAGTTCCTATTTCAACCATTTTTGTTTGTATTATTAGTTACCATTACGTTTCCCATGTTGAGCAACCAATACCACTATTCATTTCTCAATTTTCCAGCACACTTAACAGAAATTTAGTGCCCTTTAAGAAATGTCCCCCACTTATCTAACATCCACTCAGCTGGCCTGGTGGAAAAGAGCTTTGCTGCCATCCCAAAGGCATGTGGTTTGAATTCATCAGCTTCTTTGAGAGAGAAAGATGGGCATTCTCTTCTCATATGGTTTACAGCCTCTAAAAACTCACCAGTGGGTTAGCTATGAGTTGGCTCTAACTCAATTAGCCTGTAACGATAATAACAATTATTTAATGTTTCCAGGCCATCAGGGTTTTTTTCCCCCTTTACAAGATTGAAATTATTGGCTTTTTAACTGGTTCTGACAATAAATCTTGCTAGTTTAAACACCTTCAGCTGCAGATACATAAGAAAGAATATCATCCATCTACTCAAAGTAAAAGTAATGGTTCAGAATGACAGAACTATAATATAATAATGGGGAAGAGGTGAAACTCAAAACTTTAACAACTTAGTGGCTCAAACCCACAAAGCTTCCTAATTTCGTTGTTGGGTTTTCTGGGAGGTCTACTGGTGCTGGGACAAAGGCATTCATTTAGGCTGCAACTCATAAGGTCCTAAGGAGAGTTGAACCCACAAAGTGCTCTACAGAAGAAAAATAAAAAATTCTCCTTCTACAAAGACTTACAATAAACAGGGGTGCTATACTCTGTCCTACTGGGCCACTAAGAGGCTGAATTGATTTAATGTCATTGCATCTTTTGGAGTTTGGGTTTAGTTCTATTTTCTCATTCCTGATGTATATCCAACATGGTACCTCAGGGACTCAGTTCCACATTATCTTCACTCAGGACTCTAGGATGATGACACGCCCTCTATCATGGAGAAGTTCCTGGGTATTATCGGAGAAGGAAAGAATCAGTGTATCATACACTGTCTCTTAAATGTGTTCTACCTGGAAGCTGCACACACTTCTAAATTTCATTGGCCAAATCAAGTCACATGTTCTACCTAGCTTCAAGGGGATAGAAAAATGCAATTTTTAAAAAAACAAAGTCAAACAAGCAAACAAACAATAGAACCCAAGGCAGAAATCTTGGTCAACTGTGGTATTTGTGAACACCACAGATAACTATTATGAACACTTCCAAATCAGCATATATTTTAGTTTGAGATTTATTTGTGTATTTATATAATCTTTGCCCACTTTTGTGGAAGGAGAGTGATAACATACTTTTAAGACTGATGCATTTTATCTAAAATTATTTGATTCTTACTATTGTTGTTAAGTGCCACCTAATTGTTCATAGGGATGTACAACAGAACAAAACACTGTTTGGCTCTATTTGAGAGGTTGTATTGTATTCAGTTGTATGTTGTATGTCCCTCTGAGTCAGAATTAAATTTTGAGGAAAAGGACTCTGTAAGTCTCTGTCCTCAACATGTCTGCTGTATTTGTGCCCAGTGTTGTAGCCTCTGTGTCAATCTGTTTCACTAAGCTTCCTCATCTTTTTTGACTCACCCTTAAGTTTCCTACTGATCATATATCATTTTTCACATTGATTAATGACTTGGTGTTTATAAATATGCAGTGATTTTTTCCACAAATAATTAGCATATTTCAGTACCTCTTTTTTTTTTCCTCTTCCTTTTTAGGGTGAATGACATTGTGGTTCTTGGACCAGAACAGTTCTATGCCACCAGAGATCACTACTTTACAAACTTCTTCTTGTCACTGTTAGAGATGCTCTTGGATTTCCGCTGGACCTGTGTTCTTTACTACAGTCCACAAGAAGTAAAAGTGGTGGCCCAAGGATTTAGTTCTGCCAATGGAATCACAACCTCACTAGACAATAAGTAAGATTTTTCAAACTGTTCTATGCTTTACCCTTGACCATTGACATTGTTGTGGGCCTTCCTCCTGGAAAGGCCACTCCTTTCTCAGACTTAAGTACTCAGTACATGTGGTGGAGAGAACAGGGCCTGGTAGGGTTTATATTAAACGAGTCATATTAAGCAAACCATTTATCCCCTTGCTTTTCAGATTTCTCCAGTGAGGTATTTACAAATCAGGAATTTGGATCTAAGGTTCTTGTTCCAAATTCTTGCATCACACTAAAAAACACATTTACTTAGCACACCAAAGGGGAAAACGGATGTATAATGCCTCTGCCCTTAAAATGGGACAACAAGATCTTTAACCCTGTATCCTAAGTTCAGGTACTGAAAAGCTCTTCTTGGAGAGGGAGGCCCAACTTAGATTAGGCCTCCTCATCTAAGATTTAGATTGTTGTTGTTGTTGTTGTTATGTGCCGTCGAGTCGTTTCCGACTCATAGCGACCCTATGCACAACAGCCCTAAACCCTGCTCTATCCTGCGCCAACTGCACCGCCTCTGATACACCCATCCCGATTACCCCAGTCACCAAATCAATCCATCTCCTAGAGGGTCTTCCCCTCCTGCGCTGTCCCTCCACCCTCCCAAGCATGATGTCCCTCTCCAGGGACCCGTCCCTCCTGGCAACATGTCCAAAGTATGTCAGACGAAGCTCCAGAATCCTTGCCTCCAAGGAGCAGCTTGGTTTAATCCTCTCCAAGATGGATCTGTTTGTTTTCCTGGCAGTCCATGGTACATTCAGTACCCTTCTCCAGCACCACAGCTCAAAAGCATCCACTCTCCTTCTGTCCTCCCTAGTCATTGTCCAACTCTCTGATGCATAACAAGCAATTGCAAATATCATGGCCTGTATCAGGCGCACCTTAGTCTCCAGAGAGACACTGTTGCTCCTGAGTACCTTTGAGAGGTCCCTAACAGCAGACTTTCCCATAGTGATACGCTTTTTGATTTCCTGACTGCTGGTACCAAGAGTGTTAACTGTGGAGCCGAGCAAACTGAAGCTGTGAACAATCTCAATCTCTTCGTCATCCATCCTGACGCTGCCAATTGGTCCAGTGGCGAGAATCTTTGTCTTCTTGACATTGAGCCTTAGTCCATACTGAAGGCTGCAGTCCTTGACCCTTCGCAGCAAGTGCGTGAGGTCCTCCTCAGTTTCAGCAAGCAGGGTTGTGTCATCTGCATAACGCAGATTGTTAATAGATCTTCCACCAATCCTGATGCCACAATTCTCCTCATAGAGCCCAGCCTCTCGGATAATCTGCTCTGAATACATGTTGAAAAGGTATGGAGACAGGATGCATCCCTGGCGTACACCCTTGCCAATTTTGAACCATGCAGTGTTACCTTGCTCTGTTCTGACTACTGCCTCTTGGTCCAAGTATAGGTTTTGCATTAGCACAATTAAATGTTCTGGGATTCCCATTCTTCTCAGAGTCAGCCACAGTTTGTTATGATCCACACAGTCAAATGCCTTTGCATAATCAATGAAACACAGATAGACATTCTTCTGGTATTCTCTGCTTTCAGCCAAGATCCACATAACATCAGCAACAATATCCCTAGTACCACGACCCCTTCTAAACCCAGCCTGGACTTCCGGCAGTTCTCTGCTGATGTGCTGTTCTAATCGTTTTTGGATGATCTTCAGTAGAATCTTGCTTGCATGTGAAATCAATGACACTGTTCTGTAGTTTCCACACTCAGTTGGGTCACCTTTCTTTGGAATGGGAACAAATATAGATCTCTTCCAGTCAGTTGGCCAAGTGACTGTTCTCCAGATTTCTTGGCACAACTTGGTAAGCACATCCAGAGCAACATCTGTTATCTGAAATACTTCAATTGGTATACCATCTATTCCTGGGGCCTTATTTTTTGCTATTTCCTTCAAAGCAGCTTGAACTTCTTCCTTCATAACCACAGGCTCTTGCTCATATGTTAGATTATACAATTTGCAGATGTCTTACATCAGTATATGCTATGAGAATATTTTATGCAACGGGAACTCTTTTTAATGCAGCAGGAAACTTTATGTGAAAATACTCCTTAGAAGTTCTTCCCCCTTCCCTGACCCTGCCACTCCAAAAAATATGTTTCTTTTTTAAATTACTATGAATATTAGAACATGAATTTGAAATAAGGAAGAGATATGCACTGTGGAAACTAACACTAAAGATTTCTTTTTTAAAATGAACATTACTGAGCTTCGTGATGATCTGGTACTTTGCAAGCACTAAGGTTTGGAGGCGTAAGTCCTTCTGACCTTGGAAGAGGTTCATTTATATATTTAAATTTAAGGAAATAAATTGTGATTCTCAAATTATGAGATTGAGTCTATATGCCATCTAAAACCACCAATTTTATGGCTTTATATTCATGCTTCATATTCAAAGCCTATTTAAAGCATATAAGGAATATGAACAATGCTGCTCTGTTATCTGATTTTTACTGTGTGGCATTGCAATGATACTTTGATAACTTTGAAGTTTTATGCTTCTTATAATAAACATAAATGTAAACATATAATCAACATGTAATCATATCATAAACATAAAAATAAGTAGAAATGTCATCTCTTCTTACTGCATGCTTAAATGAAATTATTTTTTGCTTCAAAGGTATGTCTATGTAGCTGATGTAACAGCTAAGAACATTCATGTAATGAAAAGAAGTGACAACTGGAATTTAACTCAACAGAAGGTAAAAAGCATCCTGACTTGCTTACACAACATGGCCTCCTATGTTAGCTCCACATTTGCCCTTAGAATGTGTTCCTTCAGTGAAGGAAACGTAATAATTTTTAGAGAAAGGCTAGTGAGATTGTGCCGGTGAATAATATCACTTACAGAAGCGAAAAGGTGGTGGTGAGAGGGATGCGAGTAGGGAGGGAAATGGAGACAGTACCTTTATCATTTCCTCTTTATTGGAAGGTAATACAGCTCGACACCTTAGTGGATAACCTAGCTGTTGATCCTGCCACGGGAGATATTTTAGCAGGATGTCATCCTAATGGCAAGAAGCTGCTGATCTATGACCCCAAGGATCCTCCAGGGTCAGAAGTAAGTTCCTAAACTTCTCTCTGCTCATAAATATAACTGGAAAACAAATGAAAAACATGTTAACAAGATAGTTTAAGCAAGTCATGTTTAATATTTTAGAACGGAACAGATCTATAAATGGAAAGGCTAAAGATTTCAGGGGAGCTCTGGTGGTGTACTCCATGGGGCATGGCCCTGCCAACCCAAAGGTAGCACCTCTCTAGAGGCTGGTGTCCACCAGAGGCTTTCTGGGATGTAGACTGACAACCTCTTCCTGTGTGCTTTACAGCCTTTCAAAAACCCACGGGGTGGCCAGCTTTGAGTCACCTCCGATTCCATGGAAATGAGTTGAGCTTTGAAAGATTTTGATAGGATCAGGAAGTATGGCTCATTAAACCTGTTTAGTTCACCAGATACTAACATAAAGCCTATAGACACCACAGGGCATGCCCCTTTATTGGAAGGATTTAATTTTTTTTTTTGGAAGTAGTGAGAAGCATGGGTCTTTTTATTTATGTTGATGGAGGTTGGCATATCATTTTTGTCTAGTCAGGTTACAGACTCTGAGCAGGCCCAACTGTTAATCAAAGGGTGAGGCATAAAGGGAACTTTTCTCCATACAACGTGACATGTTGTTGTTATGAACTGTTGAGTTCACTGAGAGTTAAAATGACCTTATGTTTAACAGCACTGACCCCTGCTCTATTCTGAGCCAATTTCATTGTCCCTGACACCCCTACCCCCATTACCCCAGTTACTGTGTCAATTCATCTCATCCAGGGTCTTCTTCTCCTACATTGTCCCTCCACCTTTCCTTCTCCATGGTGTCCTTCTCCAAGGACTGGTCCCTCCAGGCAACATGCCCAAAGGATGTGAGACATGAAGCTCACATAAAACTGATTAATTGACTTTCATCTCAAAATAAAATTTGCCGTCAGTTCCTGAAATATATGATGATGTTGGTGACTGGCTCATTCTAAAGGTATTATTTGTATTCCTTAGAAATATCTCTTAAAAAACAATAGCACAAACCTTTAAAGTTTCTTATGGCATTGAGTTTAAGAATAATAATATGGAAAGTGTTAATGAACTGATATATAGGTGTTATTTCTTAAAAATGTGCTTTGGAAAATTTATTCACAAAAAAAAAAGAATTGAGCAACTATAATTCACTAAGTTTCTTGGTGGCATAGTCCATAGGGAATTATGCTACTAATCCAAAAATTATGTCTCTACTACAAATTCAAATCTTTCAGAGTTCTATGGTAAAAACCTGGGCATCTCCTGTGTAATTTACAACCTTGGGAAATACATCGGAGGGTCAGTTATGAGTCAATTTCAAATGAACAGCAATGAGTTTTTGGGTAATATGCCAAGCATTGTTGTACAATTTGGGAAATATCAGAAAACAAAACAGATTCCGGCATTTAAAAGGAAGAACAGATAACAGACAATAAACATTAGAAATACATTAGTTATTTAGTGTTGCTGTCAAGTTGGAACTCACCCTTAGCTGATCCTCCAGTGGGTTTTCAGAGGCAGTTAATTGCACAGGATACTTCCCGTCCTTCTGCAGAGCTGCTTACCACTAGGCCACCTGAACTTCCCAGTCAGTTATTATGTTTGAAAATGGTAATCAGTGGTTAGTTGGCCTCATTGAGAGGCTAAGATTAGAAGAGAGGTATACATTTGAGCCTGGGCTTGAGAAGGTGAGGAACTGATATTCAAAGCCTAGGCCAGTATTTGGTTCAGTGGCTAAATTAGAATATGTGCTTACTTCTGCTTTCAATATTGTCACTCTTCCATGAAGACTTCCCTAAAGACTTTGTTTGACAGAGCATTCATAGCTTCTTAAAATGTACAACAAAACAGTGGCACTATGCAGTATTTGTCCTTTGGTGACTGAGATATTTCCTTTAGGGTCATCCGGTTGGGGAGAGACTGAGAAAGATGGGATAAATTATGTATATGGCATTGAAACAGATGAGGGAGACAACTGTTTAAAAGGGATATATGATTAGGTATTATTGTCGTGTCAGGAGTCCAGAATGAAAGCTGCTTAGTGGAGTGGACTTGGGGGGAGAGATAGTGTAACAGTGAAAGAATTTTACTTTGCAAAGAGAAGAGTGAACTGGGGCAGGGAGGGGTGGACAAGGAGAAAAGTGCAACAATGAATGAATGGAAATCCAAAGTCTTTGTAAACTTTCATTAATAATAATAAAAAAAAATGTACACCAAAAAATAGAAGAAACAGAAGTCCAGTCTGAGTAGAATCTGAAGAATTACTACTCAAAGCTAATAAGCTACACTTTTCTCATATACCCTAAGAAACCATAGATAAACTGTCCTCCCAAACCTTGACCATGATATTCATATTGTTATTGTTAGCTGCCGGAACAGATTTCAACTGACAACAGTTTCATGTATGCAGGGTAGAGCTGCTTCACAAGGCCTTCAAGACTGTTCTGACCTTTTCTAGACATGTCAGTAGGTTCTACTTCCAAGATGTTGGCAACTTTTCATGCTATCCAAGAACTCCTTAGGTTTGTTTCAAGTGAATGAAAATATGAGCTATAGAATGATTTCCATATTGTCCATGGCCCTTTCTGTATATCCATTTTAAACTTTATTTGCTTGTGTATTTTAAAGATTTTTTTTTCAAATCACTAGTGCCCTTTTGTCTCGTTGTACATCATGTTTTCCACACAAAGTTCCAAGCTAGAATATTTTTTCTGTAAGAGACATGAGATCAAGGTTTAATCTCTTTCTAAGGACAAAATAAGAATCTATTCCAATAATGGATGTCTATATACACCCCAAGAAATCAAAAGATGAATTGCGTTGGAAAAATCTACAGTCTGAGACTGCTCTGGAGTACTGAAGAGCAACGATGTGAATCTGGAGACTAAGATGTGCTTGATTTAGGCCATGTGAAAGAAGAACTGATGGCTTTGAATTTTGGTGTTGAATTTAGAGTATTGAATTTAGTTTAGAGTATTGAATATACCATGGACTTCTAAGAGAACAAACAAGTTCAGCCTGGAGAGGATGAAACTAAACTGCTTCTTGGAGGCAAGGACTTTGAAGCTCTGTCTGACATACCTTCAGCATATTGCAAGAGGGGACCAGTCCTTCGAAAGGGACATCATGCTCAGAAGGGTGGAGGGATAATACAAGAAAGGAAGACCCTGCATGAGATGGATTGACTTCAGTGACTGGGGTAATAGTGATAAGTGTGTCAGAGACAATAAAGTTGACTCAAGATAGAGCAGGGTTCAGGGCTGTTGTACATAGGGTTGGTATGAGTGACAAGTGACTTGATGGCACATAATAACAACAACATATAGACCCACGATTCATGAATTTCCAAATATTTTTTTTCCTTTTTCAATTCTTATTTGATCTGTTTAAGAGCACATCGCCCAGGGTATTGGGAAACATAAGCTCTTTTGTATTTATTTATTAGCAAAGAAACGTGCTAATCATGAGAATCAGTACTAGGCGGTGATAGCTCAGATTGGATTCCAGAATATTTATTCTTTTCGCCATGTTGGATGTGAGGAAGGCCCACTTTGATGACTGTCGTCTCATACATTGTCCACCTGTGTTGCCTGGCTAGTTAGGTGTCTGTCATTTTTTTCTTCTGTGTTCCTCCTCATCCTATGAGTTCAGTCAAAGGCAAGACCATTTCTACAGAGAAGACCATTGTCTCTCTAAGAAATGAATTAAGACTGCCACTGACTCTTCTATCATTCTAAAGGAGATACCTGGAGCTACAAAATTGCATAACCATCTGTTGAGAAATTTGCTTAATGTCCAATAACTAATCTGTAAATATTATTTTAGTGGCTAGATATCACTAGGACAGTAGAACATTAATCAAAAAAAGAGAAAGTTAGTGCAGATACACAGAGCTTAGTTTACCAGTCTCTGAAAAAGAAATACACGGGTCCTAAAATATTTGGGAAGGAATTGTCATTGGATGGTTATGTGTTCCTGTTGTGTACTTATGGTTGTCCTCTCTTGACAGGTACTCCGCATTCAGAATGTTCTGTCCAAGAAGCCCAAAATAAGCACAGTATATGCTGATAATGGGTCTACGCTTCAGGGCAGCTCTGTGGCTTCTGTGTATCACAGGAAACTTCTCATTGGCACCATATTTCACAAACTTTTGTACTGTGAACTCTAAACCCCATGTATCCCCTCAAAATTTATATGTTTGGTAAAAATAAAGCCTTAAATATATGGAAATTGAAACTAGAGGTAAATAACAAACACCAACAAGTATGTGTGTGGATTCTTTAATGGTCAGAAGGAAAGGAAAGGAGAAAGTCTATATAATGTCTACCAAATTGCACATCAAGTGACAGTCCATACAGAAGCCAAACTTCGCAATTCTTGGTCTAGCACTTCTAAGATGTCATGGTTCTGGAAAGCAGTCTTCAGACCCACATGTTGCCCCTGTGGCAACAATGACAATAACACAAACAGACAGACTGACTGACTCACTGTTGTAAAGTGAATCCTGACTCATGGAGACCCCCTGTTAGATTTCTGAGGCTGTAAAGTTTTACAGGAGAAGACTACCTTTTCTTTCTCACTGGCAAATTCAAACCACCAATCTGGTGGGGTATAGCCCAGCACACAATGCACTCCACCACCAGGGCTTCCTGTTTCACTACTGTGCTCTTCTCAACCTTTGCAGTCCTGATCAGGGGTGAAGATAATGTTTAAATATTTAATCCTTTCTCCTTCCCCTGGTTATGCTGGACATAAACCATTGATTCGGTGTTCAGCCTCAAAGATATAAAAACAAGGGTTAGAATTCTGAGATGTTCCAAGAGTTCCTCTAACTTGCTTTTATCTGTAGACAGAAGCACAGGAACGACGGTGAAGAACAGGAAGATCCCCAGCCATGTAGACTAACAGAGTGACTGCAGCAGTGGGCGCGAGTGTGTCAGAGATTGTGAGGAGGGCACAGGATAGGACAGGGTTCAGATATGTGTTCATCGGGTCATTGTGAGTTATACGTGACTCATGGCACCTAACAACAACAGAAGCACAGAACATCAATTCTGGGAACTCTGTCAGGGACAACCCTCACTAGCTGTCTTGGCGCAGGGCTGACATATTCATTTGGAAAATGTCAGTAGTTCTACTGATACCTGCATATGAGAGATGGCTAATCTGCTTTGTCTAAATCCTGTCATGACGCCTCAGGGTAGCTACCTTCAACTACTTTCAGTTTGTTTCTTTAGTTAATGCAATAAATAGTTATTAAGCAACCTTCAGCAGTCTTAGCCCTAAGGAATAAGAAATGAATAACCCAGTTTCCACCTGAAATCCTGTCTAACAATGAGCCCAAATGGACCTTAGTGAAAATGAATAGAACTGTTCCTTTCTGGATCAAAACCCAAAATAGGCTTTAACAAATCAACAATTGAATTCAGTCCACACAAGCACTCCTTCTCATTTTTATTAGGGGCAGAGTGAGTGATTTTTACTTAGGAATCCTCACGGCACAGTGGGTTAAGTGTTGGTCTACTAATTAAAAGCTTGGCAGTTTAAACCTACCGGTCATTTAATGGGAGAAAAATGAGGAAATCTTCTGTTGTGAAGATAGGTGGCAGTTCTAGTGAGTCCTTGTAAAGACTCTATGCCTTGCAACTACCAAAAGAAAAGACAAATCTGTCTTGGAGGAAGTGCATTTAAAGTGCTCCTTAGACCAAGAATGGTGAAACTGGGTCTCACATACTTTGGCCATGTTTTCAGGAAGGGCCAGTCCTTGGACAAACACATCTACTGAGGAAGACACAGGGTCAGCAAAAGAGAAGATTCTTGTTAAGAAGGATTCGCACAGTGAGTGCAACAATAAGCTTGGTCATGGCAGGGAGCAGAAAAATGGTTCAGGCTAGAGCAAGATTGGGGTCTGTAGTTTAAATGAATAGAGCTAATGATAACGGATGATGTTTAAGCTGCACTGAAGGTATTAGCAAAAAATAAAGCCCCAGGAATCGATGGAATACAAACCGACATGTTTCAACTAACAGATGCAGCCCTGAATGTGTTCACCAGCTTATGCCAGGAAATGTGGAGGACAGCTGTCTGACCAACTGATTGGAAGAAATCCATTATTTATCCCCATTTCCAAGAAAGCTGATCCAACACAATGTGGGAACAGTCGAACACTATCATTAATATCTCATGCAAGCAAAATATTGTTGTTGTTGTTGTTGTTATGTGCCATCAAGTTGCTTGCGACTTATAGTGACCCTATGTACAAGAGCTCTAAATGCTGTTCTATCCTGTGCCAACCTCACCGTCTCAAACACATTCATTCCCACTACTCCAGTCACAGAATCTACCTGTCTCATCGAGGGTCTTCCTCTCCTACGCCTTCCTTCCACTCTGCCAAACATGATTTGCCTCTCCAAGGACCGGTCCCTCCTTGCAACATGCCCAAAGTATGTCAGGAGAAGCTTCAGAATACTTGACTCCAAGGAGCATTCCAGCTTCACCTTCTCCAGGACAAACCTGTTTGTTCTCCTAGCAGTCCATGGTATATTCAACACTCTTCTCCAGCACCACAGCTCAAAGGCATCAATTCTCTTTCTATTATCCCTATTTCCTGTCCAACTCTCTGATGCATAGCACGTAATTATGAACAGCTAGACAGGGTACTACCAGAAGTTCAAACTGAATTTAGAAGAGGCCACACACCAGGAATATTATTGCTGATGTCATAAGGGTCCTGGCGGAAAGCAAAGTATATCAGAAGAATGTCCATTTGAGTTTTATTGACTTTGCAAAAGTATTTGATTGTGTGGATCATAACAAATTATGTCTAACATTGAGAAGAATGGAAATCCCAGAAAACTTAATTGTGCTCATACAGAATCCATACCTAGATCAAGGAGCTGTTGTTTAAAGGGAGCAGTTAAGCATTGCATAGTTTAAAGTCAGAAAGTGTGTGCCTCAGGTTTATATACTACCTCCATACCTAGTACCTATACAATCTGTATGCTCAGACAATAATTCACGAAGCTAGACTCAAAGAAGAGGAGTGTGGCATCAGGATTGGAGGAAGACTTGAATTATCCAGATGATACAACTTTGCTTGCTGAAACTGAGAAAAATGTGAAACACTAAATTCTAAAATTCTAAAGTCTATATTCTATAGGTTATAATATGCCATTTCCAAAGTTAGCTTACTATTTTGGTGGTTTTTAAATGATAGTTTCTGTCTTATTCACAGAAAATGTATCAGAGTAACAATCTCTGGTTGTCTCACATTATAGAGCTTAGGATCAATTCATTTTGTTAGCTAGTACAGCTTAATGAAACAGACAATCAATTAAGGATTTATAGTGGGGAGACTGACAAAGTCAAAGTTTATTCTTTAAGATGATGAATAAAAACCAATAAACATCTGTTGAGGATTATCAAGAATGGTTCAAATATCCAATGTCAGACATGAAAAATGCAGCTTGAATTTGCTATAGGCATTGTTGTTGTTGTTATGTGCCGTCGAGATACTTGTGACTCATAGTGACCCTAAATCCTGCTCTGTCCTGTGCCAATCTCACTATTTCTGACACACTCACCCCAATTACCCCAGTCACTGAATCAATCCACCTCATAGAGGTTCTTCCCCTCCTGTCTGTTCTTCCACTCTCCCAAGCATGATGTCCCTCTCCAAGGACCAGTCCCTCCTTGCAACATGTCCAAAGTATGTCAGATGAAACCTCAGAAACCTTGCTTCCAAGGACCAGTTTAACCCTCTCCAGGATGAACCTGTTTGTTTTCTTAGAAGTCCATGGTACATTCAATACTCTTCTCCAGCACCACAGCTCAAAGGCATCAATTCTCCTTCTATCCTCCCTAGTCATTGTCCAACTCTCTGATGCATAACAACTGATTACAAAGACCATGGCCTGTATCAAGCACACCTTAGTCTCCAGAATGACATCATTCCTCTACAGTATTTTGGAGAGGTCCGTAATAGCAGACTTTCCCATTGCACTACATCTTTTAATTTTCTGCCTGCTGATGCCAAGAGCATTGACTGTGGAGCCAAGCAAACTAAAGCTGTGAACAATCTCAATCACTTTACTATCCATCCTGATGCCGCCAATTGGTTCAGTGATAAGAAATTAATAAACTACTTTATGGTAATAAATTTGAAAATTTTATGGAATGAACAAACTCCTACAGAAATAAATATAATAATTTATTAATTAGTAAGACAAAATTGCTATAATGAGTAGAATAAAAACAGACAATAAAAGATTTAAATAAATGAAAAAAATATTCCCTGTTCATGGATAGGAAGACTCAATATTGTGAAAATGACAAACCTACCAAAACCAATCTACATGTTTAATGCAATTCCAATACAGATACCATACTCATTTTTCAAAGAGATTGACAGGGAAATCATCAAGTTAATTTGGAGAGGAAAGAGACCTCGAATAAGCAAAGTACTTCTGAAAAACAAAAATGAAGTGGAAGGAAGAGCAGCACTCCCTGACCTCAAAACCTACTACAAAATGGTAGTCACCAAAACAGCATGGTGCTGGTTCAACGACAGGCACATAGACCAATGGAACAGAATCAAAAAAACAAAAATGACCCATCTATCTATAGTCAACTGATATTTGACAAGGAAAAAAAAACCTGTCAAATGGGAAAATGACAACCTCTTCAACAAATGGTGCTGACAAAACTGGTTGCTAACTTCAGAAAGCTGAAACAAGATCTGTATTTCACACCATACACAAAAATCACCTCGAGGTAGAGCAGAGACTTGGAAGTAAAGCCCAAAGCCATAAAGTTCAAAAGAAACAAACTGGGACCAAGTTTAGAAGGCTTACCCTATGGTATAAAGAGACTGCCAAATTCAGTGAGAAAAGCACAGTCTGGAGAGGATAAATTTGATGAATGGGACTCTCTAAAGATTAAATCTCTGTGTGCATCAAAAATTGTTTCCAGCAGTGTAAAAAGAAAGCCTACTGTCTGGGAAAAAAACATTAGGCAATACCATTTCAGACAAAAGTTTCATAACACAAGTTTATAGAATACTCCTGGGCCTCCAGAAGAAAAAGAGTGATAACCCAATCACAAAATGGGCAAAAGACACGGAAAGACATTTCACAGAGAAAGACATTCAGGTGGCTGACAGATACACGA